TGGGGAGAAAGGGGAGACAGGTGGAAGATGGACTGAGAGGAGGCTGGAGTGTGGAGTCTGGGAGGGGGCCCCAGGGAGAGGAGCCTACCTACATGCTGGTTACTGGAGAGGAGGATCTACGCTGCCTAATGTCTCCTGGGGAGGAATCCTGAGCAGCAGGGAAGGAGCCAGCCCACAAAAAGGTCTGAAAGCAGCTACTAACCCACCACGCTGACAGGACAGGATAGTGTGAATACTCCTACACTCCCTGGGCCACATAAGAGGAGAGACTGTGTAATTGCAAACTCTTGGGACCCCCTTGCTCAGGGATACCCTCAGCACAGTTGGGTGAAGAGGAAGATTTATCCGGTGTCTGAGGAGTACGCCAAAAATGAGACAGTGCTTTATTTTTGCCAGTCCACCCTTTTTGTATGTAGTTGCTAAGAAGTTTGTCCTCGAGTCCTACAGTTCCTTGGGCATCCCATATACCCCTAGACCCCATCCAAGTTGTTAACCCCTTAATAAAAACATCTAAAAACCAGCTCAAGGACTGTTTACTGACTCTAAGGGTACAAGTGTGGAAAATGCATGTTGTATGGCTGCGCAGAGCATAGGGGGACCCAAATCAAACTTAGTGGTCCTTACGAGGGTAGTGCTACAAGTAAAAGTCCTTTTATTTTTTTTTGTATATGTGTACTAAATCTGGTGCACATAGAATCTGGTACAGCTGTGCATAGTAACCAATCAGCTTCCAGGTTTTATTGTCAAAGTTTAATTGAACAAGCTGAAGTTGGAAGCTGACTGGTTACGATGCACAGCTGCACTAGATTCTGTGTGCACCAATTTTTGTAAATTTCCCCTTATAGTGTTAGTACTATCATACTGATAATATGCTCAAATTCCCCATGTGTGGTAGGAGTAATGTTTGGTTGGTATCAAACTAGTGAGCACTGATACAAAAAAAACTTTATTGCAGTATAATAAAATAACCTGTGTTTGTAAATACTAACAGAAATAAATCAATACTTTTATAGACAATCACATTTTTCATGAATTTAAAGAGAGCCTAATCAGTCTCTATATTGTATGGTCTGTCTGTAAATGTCTGGATGGTTGGCAGCCTAACTGCATGCACATTTCTGTGATTGTTGGGAACAAGTGTTCATACGTGAACCTATGCATGTAATAAATACATTTAAATTACACCAAAAAGTCACACTGTTGAAGGAAAGCACACCTCATCAGGACATAGATCTGCTAATGATATACCTTGAAGGTAGCATGAAAAGTCCCCTGAAACAATTAAAGATTATATTGACTATTCCAGGCAGTTCACTTTATAAACTGCAAGCCTTGGTGTATTGTGTATCTGATTGAATGTAATTATAACAATCTGTTTATTGAACAAGTCAGTAAGGAGCTCAGTGACAGAGTTCTTCACCATAAAGACCCCATAACACTCACAACAGGCTGTCCAGGGCTTCAGTAAACACATTATACATCACTACTTGTACAGGGATAGTAATGGCTATTCTATCACAATACTGCAATGTAATGAATGGAAGATATTACAATGGAGAGAAATCCGTTTGAGCATTCGAATTCAGGAGAAACTCTGGAACAGCTGATTAATATTCTATAATGACTGCCCTAAGTGACCAAAGGGATAACACAGAGAAACAAACAATCACAGAATGGATGGTGGTTATTAGATGTGCCCAGGGCTGGCAATAAACATAAAAAGGCAATCTGGTCTATAGATATCGGTGTGACCACCAAAAGATGCATTTTTCCTCTTCATTATTTGCATACATATGCATGCTTTTATCTTTGTGACAGGCCTGTACACCAGCACTCTTATCTCTGTGATCACCATAACTTACAATAGTCTAACCCTAGCTATAGATATGCAGATGGAATTTCTCCTTCTTGGTTGCAGGTGGACTAATGTACTGACACATAAATCCTGATGCTCCAATCAGACTAGTAGTGACAACATTTCTATATAAATCTGTCTTGTTCAGGGAACATTAGGAAAGGTGGAATGGAAACTTGACTAGGGTATTAAATATGGCTTGCTTCTGTACTGTTCTGACCATAACCCCAGCCATCTCCCATAGAATAATCACACCACAACAAGTTGGAGTTAAATGGCCATCACAGTCTTTTATTAATAAAATATATATAAATAACATGAAACAGAATAGAGTAATTTAATATCACAGTGTATAGAATGGCACCCCAAGGTCCTATTAGGCATCAAATGATGCATATCACTGATTCAGGCCTCCAGCTGCAAAACCACCAACTCGGAGACAACTCGCAGATACACATCCCAACAACTGGGAGCCATACCTCAAACGGGTCCCCACACCATACCTTTGTGACCAAACGAACATAAAAAAGGATCTTAAACCCTCGCCGGCCGCATGACAAAACAAACCACAACAATCACAAGCCCCAACATCAAGAGACCAATACAAACAAGGCGGGAAGGTGGGAAGTTTTTTCCAACTTGACTGATCTCCGACTGAAGACCTCCCCAGGCTAGCTACCAGCCCTTGCAGCTCCACCCCTACTTGACCCAATCACAAGAGCTTGCCACCTATTAACTTTTAAACATTAGACATGCCCCAGCCTTAGACTCAAGCCCATTTAACCTCTATTATACCGGCCTTCAATTTATTTGCATTCTTACTTTATTCCAGGCTTCCCTTTACACTATACATGCACCTACACAGACCTGTTTCAGCTACATCTTCCAGTTTGGCAGTTCAGTATTCGGAAGGACATCTGTCACCCTTGAATGCTGAAGCTTGTCTATACACTAGTGCATGATCTGAGATGATTTTTTTGGTCAATAATATGCATTTTTTGGGTATATATGAAATGTGTTTCCAACTACAACAATATTAGCTCCCATAGCAAGTAAAATTAAAGCCCAACTCTGGGCAGATGAAAAAAAATTATGCCTTGCAGGGGGGCTGTGCCTCCACTCCCCTGGCAGGTGATGCTCTCTCCCATGATCCAGTGGTAGACTGTTCCTCAGCATACTTACATTCAGAGCAGGGCTATGGACATTGATGATGTTAGGGCCCTAGACCGATAGCACGTGGGGATGCAGAAGATGTGGGGACTGGTCTAGTTGTGAGAAGTGGAGAATTGAGTAAATACATCTCCTTTTATTGTTCTTCTGGACATAAATAAGCAAATAACCCTTGCAGTGCAGGTACAGCTCCGCTACAAGGGATTTTTTTTTATGTATACAAAGTAAGGCAAACAGCTAGAGGTATGCGAGACAAAAACATCTGTTTGATTTTGGATTAATTTGTTAAAGTGGTTGTAAACCCTTACATATATCCAGTTGTCAGGAATGGACTGGCCAGCAATGGTGGGACTCACCTGCCTTTTGATCTGCAGTACCAGGGCTGGCCAGTGGATGCTCCCAGCAATCAGAGACTCAACTTTGCAGCCAGCTAACACCTGGAACTGATTATGCTGGGGTATTTAAGGGACGGCCAGACCCACAGACTCTGCCTTGGTGTTGTGTTTGTCCTGGGCCCTGTATCCTGTTTCTGTCCTGCATCCTGTTTCTGAACCGCTGCTGACTTCTCCTGCTCTGATCCCGGCTCGCTCCTGACCATCCCTCTGCCTGACCCTCTGTACCACGCTGCTTGCTACCTGTTCTGATCCCTGGCTTGTGACCCTGACCATCCCTCTGCCTGACCCTCTGTACTACGCTGCTTGCTACCTGCTGAACCTGGCCTGTGACCCCGACCAATCTCCGCTTGCTCCCCCTGTACCTACCTGCCCTATTGATATTGACCCGGCCTGCCTGACGACGCTTGCTTGTATGTACTGTTATCTGTGGGTGTTGTTTTGGTTTGGTTGCACTGTATTATGTTTTAGTATTGCACTGCGTTTATGTTTGTATTGTTAGTGTTAATAAATTATATTGTTTATAACATATCTGAGGTCTGCGTTTCCCTGCGTTAGCCACACACCTCTGGTCACACCTGGGAGCCCTGACATTACACCAAGGCCAATCCTGACCAGAAGTGGCTGCACAGGGAAGCCATCTTGGTTTGTTGATGGGAAGGATGGATCTGGATGAGGTTGCGTATTTATATCTGCTAGTGTTTGATGACAGGGAGTATGCTTATCAAACTCTGAAGGAGTATACCCGGGATGAACTGCTAGAATGTATATGGCTCGCTCATGTTCTAGTAGATCAGGGCACAGAGTTCTCTGAGGTGCAGCCTTTGATTGAGGTTTGTGCTGAGTTTGGTTTCATCTGGTACCCCCGAATGCAGGGATGAATTTTTGCCACCATTTAGTGCAGACCAGGTGGAGTCCCTGGTGTGGGTTATTAGAGGATGATGTGGGTTACCTTCTGGAGCGTTATTCCACATGTTCACCACAGACACTAAGAGATTGTATAAACGCAGTGCAGTCATTGACCAGACAGGCTTTGTGTAAGCTCAGCTTTGTTCAACCCATACTGCAGACATGGACAGACTTGTTGCACCCAGCCTCAGTCAGCTTACAAAAACCCAGTCCTGCTTCTAACTCTACTCCTATATTCCCACCAGCTCCTCCAGTTACAGCCCAGTATACTTGGCTATCTACCGCATGTCAGTACCCTGTTCCCACTCGCTGCACCTATCCTGCCTTTAACCCTGTAAAAAAGCCCTCTGTAGCAACTGCTCCCTCTCCTGTTCCATCCTCCAGTTTTTCTCTGTCTCCAGCTGCTCCATTCGTTTGCAGACCTGCGTTTACTTGCAGTGCTCCAGTAGTTAAAACCAGAAAAAAGCGAAAATTCTTTCCAACCAATACCATCCTGCCAGTATCCAAACCGGTGAACCTGCCTTCCGTGACTCAGCCTGAAGCCTTTACTCAGCCTGAAGCCTCTACTCAGCCTGAAGCCTCTATTCAGCCTGAAGCCTCTACTCAGTCTGATGCCTCTACTCAGCCTGATGCCTCTACTCAGCCTGATGCCTCTACTCAGCCTGATGCCTCTACTCAGCCTGAAGCCTCTCTTCAGCCGGATGCCTCTCTTCAGCCGGATGCCTCTCTTCAGCTGGATGCCTCTCTTCAGCCGGATGCCTCTCTTCAGCCTGAAGCCTCTCCTCAGCCTGAAGCCTCTCCTCAGCCTGAAGCCTCTACTCAGCCTGAAGCCTCTACTCAGCCTGATGCCTGCATTCAGCCTGATGCCGCTACTCAGCATGATGAACTGATCCAGCCCGACGATCCTATTAGGCCAGTTGACTCGATGCCCGCTGTTGATCCAGATGATCCGGTACCTGATCCAGTGCCCGCTGTCGTGCCAATTGACTCAGAGCCCGCTGTCATACCTGGTGACCCGGGCCCACTGCCTTGCCAGATGACGCGGTGCCCGCTGGCAAGCCAAATGACCTGATGCCTGGTGACCCGATGCCCGCTGTCGAGCCAGACAATCCGATACCTGATGACCCGGTGCCCACTGTCGTGCCTGTTGACTCGGAGCCCACTGTCTTGCCAGACGACTCGGTGCCCGCTGTTCCGCCAGACGACTCGGTGCCCGCAGTCTTGCCAGACGACTCGGTGCCCGCAGTCTTGCCAGACGACTCGGTGCCCGCAGTCTTGCCAGTTGACTCTATGCCCGCTGTTCCGCCAGTTGACTTGATGCCCGCTGTCCCGCCAGACGACTCGGTGCCCGCAGTCTTGCCAGACGACTCGGTGCCCGCAGTCTTGCCAGACAACTCGGTGCCCGCAGTCTTGCCAGACGACTCGGTGCCCGCTGTTCCGCCAGTTGACTTGATGCCCGCAGTCTTGCCAGATGACTCGGTGCCCGCAGTCTTGCCAGATGACTTGGTGCCCGCAGTCTTGCCAGACGACTCGGTGCCCGCAGTCTTGCCAGACGACTCGGTGCCCGCAGTCTTGCCAGACGACTCGGTGCCCGCAGTCTTGCCAGACGACTCGGTGCCCGCAGTCTTGCCAGACGACTCGGTGCCCGCAGTTCCGCCAGTTGACTCGATGCCCGCTGTTCCGCCAGTTGACTCAGTGCCCGCAGTCTTGCCAGACGACTCGGTGCCCACTGTCGTGCCTGGTGACTCGGTGCCCGCCGCTCCGCCTGAGGGCCTGAGAGACCTGTCGCTCCATCTGGGGGGTCCGGCACCCGCCGCTCCGCCTGAGGGCCCGAGACCTGTCGCTCCATCTGGGGGTCCGGCGCCCGCTGCTCCGCCTGAGGGCCCGAGACCTGTAGTTCCGCCTGGGGGTCCGGCGCCCACCGCCCCGCCTGGGGGCCCGAGGCCTGTCGCCCCGCCTGGGGGCCCGAGGCCTGTCGCCCCGCCTGGGGGCCCGAGGCCTGTCGCCCCGCCCAGGGGCCCGGTGCCTGTCGCCCCGCCCGGGGGGCCCGGTGCCTGCCGCCCCGCCCGGGGGCCCGGTGCCTGCCGCCCCGCCCGGGGGCCCGGTGCCTGCCGCTCCGCCTGGTGGCCCGCTGCCTGCTGCTTCTCCTGGTAGCCCGATGTGCCTCTGCCCGGAGTCCTGCCCGATGTGCCTCTGCCTGGAGTCCTGCCCGATGTGCCTCTGCCCGGAGTCCAGCCCGATGTGCCTCTGCCCGATGTGCCTCTGCCCGGTGTGCCTCTGCCCGGAGTCCAGCCCGATGTGCCTCTGCCCGGAGTCCAGCCCGATGTGCCTCTGCCTGATGTGCCTCTGCCCGGAGTCCAGCCTGATGTGCCTCTGCCCGGAGTCCAGCCCGATGTGCCTCTGCCCGGAGTCCAGCCCGATGTGCCTCTGCCCGGAGTCCAGCCCGATGTGCCTCTGCCCGGAGTCCAGCCCGATGTGCCTCTGCCCGGAGTCCAGCCCGATGTGCCTCTGCCCGGTGTGCCTCTGCCCGGAGTCCAGCCCGATGTGCCTCTGCCCGGTGTGCCTCTGCCCGGTGTGCCTCTGCCCGGAGTGCAGCCCGATGTGCCTCTGCCCAGTGTACCGCTGCCCGGAGTCCTGCCCGGTGTGCCAGTCTTTGATATCCCGCCAGTTACCAGACCCGGGCGGTGGAACATTTTTCCCAGCTAGGACTGTTTGGAGCATCCTGAGGCCGCTCCTTGAGGGGGGGTACTGTCAGGAATGGACTGGCCAGCAATGGTGGGACTCACCTGCCTTTTGATCTGCAGTACCAGGGCTGGCCAGCGGATGCTCTTCCAGCAATCAGAGACTCAACTTTGCAGCCAGCTAACACCTGGAACTGATTATGCTGGGGTATTTAAGGGATGGCCAGACCCACAGACTCTGCCTTGGTGTTGTGTTTGTCCTGGGCCCTGTATCCTGTTTCTGTCCTGCATCCTGTTTCTGAACCGCTGCTGACTTCTCCTGCTCTAATCCCGGCTCGCTCCTGACCATCCCTCTGCCTGACCCTCTGTACCACGCTGCTTGCTACCTGTTCTGATCCCTGGCTTGTGACCCTGACCATCCCTCTGCCTGACCCTCTGTACTACGCTGCTTGCTACCTGCTGAACCTGGCCTGTGACCCCGACCAATCTCCGCTTGCTCCCCCTGTACCTACCTGCCCTATTGATATTGACCCGGCCTGCCTGACGACGCTTGCTTGTATGTACTGTTATCTGTGGGTGGTTGGTTTGGTTTGGTTGCACTGTATTATGTTTTAGTATTGCACTGCGTTTATGTTTGTATTGTTAGTGTTAATAAATGATATTGTTTATAACATATCTGAGGTCTGCGTTTCCCTGCGTCAGCCACACACCTCTGGTCACACCTGGGAGCCCTGACACCAGTGAAGTGACTGGCCTCAGGTGATACACAGAGAAACAAATCTTCCTACATAAGTTACACTTGTCTATCTGCAGCCTTCTCCTCTACATCCCTTCAAAGTGCTGAATTTAGAAAGCTTGTCTGAGATTTCTGAAAAAAAGGGGGTCTGACAGCTGACTTTACACACTGCAAAGCTCAGTGAGGAAATACCCTGGGAATTGATTGGATGGAAGAGACAACCCCTCCACACAGGAACAGAGCTGAGGCCCCTCCCCTGTCACCATTTTCCTCTTTATGCCAGGAAAACCTGTCAGAAGTGACTCATGCTGATAGCAGATTAATAAAGCAGCAGACAGAAATGACACTTAGTGCTCTGGTTTGAGAAAAGTACACACTACAGAGGGATATGCGGTGTTCGTATTTTATATCTGAAGTTTACAACCACTTTAACCGCTTCCCAACCGCCTTCCAGTCCGCCCACAATGTACTGCGGTAGCTGCAGACAAAGCAATGTACCCATACATCGCATTGCTCTTCCGGGTTTAGAGCGCGCATACTCGTGCCCCCCACCCCCACTGACCCCCGTTGTCATTCGTTGTAGGAGGTGTATGTCAGCAGGTCTTGACTGTGATTTTGGTCGGGACTCTGTCGATCTCCTACAGTGAATGGAGATGCAGTACTGTGCCTGTATTTGTAAATACAGGCACAGGATCTAGCTGGTTCTTCTCTCCCTGGAACCATTTTGTTCCAGGGAGAGAAGAAAGAGACATCACGCGTGAGTAAAAGAAGCACACTGCACCCACACACGTTAGATAGAGACATTTTAACCCCTTGATTGCCACATTTAACCCTATGATTGCCCCCTACCACCCTGCCAGTGCCATTAGTACAGTGTCTGTGTACAGTATTTTTTACTGATCATTGTATTAGTGCCAATAGTGACGTCAGATGGTGTCAGATAGCATCAGGGTCAGTTAGCGTCCCTCCCAGCTAGGGTCAGCTAGCGTTAGATTGCTTGCACACTATCGCACTCACGCTATAGGTCGCTGATCATGACTTGTCTCATATGCAGCAGAGTGCCAGTACTAGTGCCGCTCTACCTTTTGGTGAACTGGTGAGCACCAGCGGCCTAGTATATCCTGGTCTTTTTTATACCAGCGCTGCACTATCACTTGGGAATGTGGCGAGTCCCATAAGTGCAGTGCAAGCTGGTGCGGTGGCGAGCACAAGTGGTGTACCACAGCCACCAATAATTTGCACACAGGCCCGTAGAGCCCCTAGTGTCCTTTTGGAAGTGCTTGCAAATCCTGATTGGCAGCCCACATATTCTGCAGCACCCGTACTTCCCCCATTCACTGCTCAACCTGGAATTCAGGTGAAAACAGCAAATTTAACTCCTCTTGATTTTATGGAGCTGTTTTTCACAGACGATTTGTACAATTTGATTGTGGGCCAAAGCAATTTATATGCACAACAATATATCGCCGCAACCCAAATTCAAACCTTGCCAGATCATTTGCATGAAAACCTATTACGGTTTCCGAATTTAAAACTTTTTTTAGCTTAATCCTCAATATGAGCATTACAAAAAAGAATGAGTTGCGGTCGTATTGGTCCACAAACCTGATTCATCATATGCCGTGTTCTCTGCTGCCATGGCCAGGCATAGATACGAGACAATAATGCGCTTCATGCATTTCAGTGATAACACACTCTGTCGTCCTCGGAGTGACCCTGAACATGACCAGCTCTACAAAATTCAGCCCCTTATAAACCACCTCACTGAGAAATTTTCAAATGTGTATACGCCCCAGCAAAACATCTGCGTGGATGAGTCCCTCATTCCCTTCATTGGCCACTTTCATTCAAACAGTACATCCCCAGCAAGCGTGCCAGATATGGGGTCAAATTGTATAACTTCTGTGAGAGGGCCACAGGCTGTACGTACAAATTTAGAGTTTATGAGGGAAGAGACAGCGAAGTAGAGCCCCCCTAACTGCCCAGACTACATGGGGAGCAGTGGCAAGATAGTTTGGGACTTTGTGTCGTCTTTTTTCCTTAAGGGGTACCGCTTATACGTGGACAATTTCTATACAAGCGTGACACTATTTAGACATTTGTACAATCTAGAAATTGGCTCATGTGGCACCGTGTGACCTAATCGCTGTGGCTTCCCCCAATGGCTTGTAAATACCCAACTTAGAAAGAGGAAGATAGCCTGCTTGAGGAATGATGAATTGCTCGCAGTGAAGTGGAAGGACAAATGGGATGTTTTCATTTTGTCTTCCATTCACACAGATGCGACATTCCAAATTAGCATGGTATCTGGCGTTGTTGAGAAACCCCTCTGTGTCCACAACTATAACCTTAACATGGGAGGGGTGGACTTCAATGACCAAATGATGAATCTGTACCTAGTTTGCTGGAAATCTCGACACTGGTACAAAAATGGTATCTATTTATTTATTTCAAATGGCTACATATAACGCTTTTGTAATTTACAAAGCAACTGGACGAAGTGGATTCTTCCTAAAATTTCAGGAAGAGATCATCATGGCTCTTTTGTATCCAAAAGATGCTGTGGCCCAATCCTCAAATCCAGATGCAGTTAGCCAGCTACATGAGAGGCATTTTCTGGATGTCCTCTCTGGTACCCCAACCCAAAGGTCTGTAGCAGACACAGAATAAGATGCCTGCTTTTTTTGTCCGTCCTGTCCTGGCCAACCTGGTCTCTGTCTCAAAGACTGCCTCCGTCGCTACCATACACTAGTGGAGTATTAGTATAGCGTACAGCAGGGCACAGTTCAGGGGACATATTCACCATTCTCACAAAGGGTCTCAAAAGATGTCAGATAGTCAGGAAACTGTCCATCACATTTTGAGAGACCCAAAACTCAGAGGTTGTTGCAAAAAAAGTTTAAAAATAAATAAATAAATAAAGTTAAAAAAAAAAAATCATTGTTTTTAAAAGTTGTTTTTATTGAGTTTTATTGAGCTGAATTGTTCTATAGTTACTTTGTTTTATTGTTAACCATTTGCTTTAGAGGAACACCATTCACTTGTTGGTTTATTGAGTTAATGTTCTATTGTTACTTTGTTTTATTGTTAACCATTGCTTGCTTTGCGGGAGCACCAGTCAGCTGCAGCACCAATCTGTTTATTCTGACAGCAACAGGAATTTGCTCTCAGAATATACATAAGTCAGTGTGTTCAGCGCTGTTGAAGGAGATTTTTCATCCGCAGTTAAAAAAAGAGCATATATGCCGAAGCATGAGGGCCTGGGGTGGCCAGTGGGTGGAT